AACTCCTCCTTAAATAAGAAGGATGATTCACAGGAATAATGGAGACTCTTGTCCCCACCTTTTCCCAGGCATAAAGGCAGATCTCTTTTTATCTCCTGAGCCAGCTCTTCCTCAGATCACCTCCAGCCTGATTCTCTGTGTCCTATTAAAGCAATGGCAAAACTCCCATCAGCTCTCCAGGGTCCCAATCCTGCATTGCTTTTTCTTGCTCATCCAGAGCTCTGTGGACTCCACTTGCTGATGTAGGAAAGCAGCCTGTCCTTTCCACAGGCATTTTAGTTGTAAAATAAATGTGGAGGCATGGCAACAACGAGCATCGCCATGCCTTTGCCACGGGGTGGGACCTCCAGAACACAGAGGGATAGAGAGGCACCTCAGATGGGACTTCACAGAAGCCACTGACTGCCTAGGATAGCTAGCAAGAAATGGTGAGGAGCAGGGCAAAGTTTAAGCCCCATCTCTTCCTGGTAGGTAGGCATCAGAATGAGATCCATGCCTCTGCTCTGGATTCTCAGCCATGGACTCCTTCTCTGGAGTTAGGCACCTAACCCTGCTCACAAAAAATCGGAAAGAAAGAGCGAGAGAGGGAAACCCACTCCATTATTATGCCCAAGAGCCAGCTGGTTCGTACGCTCACTTGGTAGGTGTTTTTAAATCCCTGCTATGCCATGTAAGTGCCCTATTCATTGAGTTAGTGACTATTCTGTAACAAGTATTTTTCATCTCCCCGCCTGAAGCGGCTCCACTTTGTATGAATAAACAGGCAGTCACTGGATGAGGCAGAGAGCGGAGTGACTCTTCTGCTAGTCAGGGCACTCACTTGGGGCTGCAGGAACATCAGGTTCAAGGACCCTGCTCCATATATCCGACTTGGGCACCTTAAGCAATAGTTGGGCACTTACATCCATTTAAGATGGTAGCCCCAATTCCATCCAGTAATTATTTATCACGCATGCCCAGAACACCATCACTTATACCTGTACAGCAACATGGGCCCATACAGAACTGGGAAGGTCAAATGGTTAATTGCAGGATTCCTGCTAGTCGGTCATTGTTTATTGGTTTCCCGTGAAACACGAGTAAGTGTGTATTGTTAACAGTGACTCGTTTATGACTAGGCTGTATACTGTAAGTGGGAAGGCATATGTTGTTTACAAGCGGCATAGCCTAGGTTTAGCTCACAAGCTTCCAGTGCTTTTGGGGGCAAGTGAGCACGAGCCCTTGAAATAGGGTGTCTAATATTCCCTGTGTATGAACGCTTTCTTTAGTTTCTTTAAAACTCCTTCTATCCAAGCACCAATTACATTTGCCAAACCGTGCGAGGCTGGGGTGACAAAGAAGTGGTCTGAACTAGCATTCATCCTTGAGATTTCTATTCAGCCAGGCACTTAAGCATGTGCTTAACTGAAACTTTCTACTTTAAGTGGCCTTTCTTAGACAGCAAAACCCACATTTAAGCACTCCATTTCCAGGAATCCCAGGCCACTAAGAGTAACAGTACTTTGTTACAGTCCGTCAGCATGCAACGGGGATCTCAGAGTGCTGTAGGAGCATTAGTGAACTGAAGCCCCAAAAGGGGAGAGAGATTATTCCTGTTTCACAAGGAAAGAAACTGAAGTAGAACGAGGTGGCCCCAACATTTCTTATTGTGCTGGAAAAATAAGATGGTGACTTGGTATAGAAGCAGATTCGGCATCAGAAGTCAAGTGTTTTATTTCCTGGTAGGCTGTTTCAATTCAAGCACTTGCATCCATATTTAGACACCAAAAACACAGTGTGATTTTCAGCGATGCTTATCTTCATCAGCTTCCACTGACTTCAGCCGCAGTTGTGGGTGCTCAGTACCTCTGAAACATCATACCTCTAATTTTGAGACTTACTGGCACACTCAGGTGCCTAATTTAGGTCACCACCAAAGTATGAAAAATTTGGGCTCCTGGATTTGTGCAGTCATACAGGAAATCTGCATCACAATGAGAAATAAAACACCTCTGCCTTACAGACTCCCAGCAATAGACATTAACTGCAGGCGCTGTCTCCTCCTTCCAGTTTTGTGTTCAAGATTATTTTCCATGAATTCAAATATGTCTTTCACTGTGGAAGGGAAGGTCAAGTCAGCTGGCAGATAAGTTTCCTTGGCCATCTCTGGTTCTATAATAATTCATATCCATTTAGACCCACACTTGTTAGAAACCACAATGTAACCTCTTAAATCTGCTTTGCTCTACACGATGCAGTATATCCTCCGCTCTTCACACTGAATTAGTAATTGTTGGAGGTAACTTTTAGTGGATGACACAGTATAAAGATTAAATAACCTTTTGATAACATGATCCTTTTCGCTAGGCATTTTCCTTAGGGGTTGATGGTGCTAAAGCAGCCTCTGAGAAGTATGCAGACCCATTTAAAATCATTTTGTAAATAATCAAGTGTTTAAAAATCCCATTTTCTGTGGGAGGAAATAAAATTTCAGACTTTCCAATAAATAATACCAGGCTTGACTTGGAGACGCTTTCCACCCTCCATGATTTCTATGGCTTTGCAGGAGATTTTGGTTTTACATATGCTGTTCACAGCTTTTATCCTTATTTAGCACTATATTCATGGTAGCATCTCTAGGGAGTGTTGGCCCAACTGAAGACCCTTTAACGACTTCCAAATACTAAATCATAGCTATCAAGAATTATTGGAAAATATGCTTTCTTAGAAGATAACTGAAGCTGTCTTTATCTCCCAGTAACAGAATTCACCAAGTATTATAGCAGCTTCTTCGCACCACTATAGTTAAGCTTGTTTCAGCATTTTCATTATAAACCCCTATTTTCACAGGTTTATTTCTCAGCAGAAAAAAAAAAAATCACTCCTGAATAAAACCTGGCACATAAGCACTCAGTGAGAGAGTGAAGATTTGTTTTCCTTTACAGCTGCCTAAAAAGGAAATGGGATTGGTCATCTTCAAATTAAATAAAAATAGAAGTTCATCTTTCTGGAATATTTTTTGAGTTTTGTGCACGCAAGACAAACGCTAGTTCAGCTGAAAAAGCAAAATCTGCTTAGCAATCAGGGCAATCAAGCCCTAAAAGGTTTTTCTGGTGCATTTGGAGAGAGAAACAGAATTTCTGATGTCGCAGCAGCTCCCATTCAGAAGGATTGGGAAAGGCACCATAATGCTGGACACACTCAACACTGCTCGCCATCTCTGTCAACCCTGGAAGTGTTACAGAGTCATGGCTTGCACTGCAGACCGAGGGCAAGACCGAGATTTGTAATTCAGAGCCTGATCCTTCTGCAGGTAACAGCAAAGCCCCCACTGACTTCAAGGAAGCTTTTCTTTTCCACACCTCTGCATTCCATCCCATAGCGACCTCCTCCAGCTGTCCAACTGTCCATAGGAGTAAATCTACAAAGCCAGAAGGAACTCATTATACTGTAGTGTCCTAACCATGCTATAAACCAGTGAGTTTTTCTCTGAAGAAGGGACCGAACCACGTTATAGCACCGTGTTAAAACCCTGAATGAGTTAAGGCCAACAGTTTTAAACACGGCCACTGATTTTGCACGCGTCAGTCTTGGAGTGTCTGAACTGACACGCTTTTGGTCCAATTTTCAAAGGCGCTGAGCCCTCAATGAACTCCTTGACGTGCATGGGCTGGGCATCCCAAATTTGAAGGGCTTCCAAATTGGTGGTTGCTGGCTGGCAGTGTGGCTTTGCACAATCTAGTCAAAGATGTTTTAATCTTGCATGAGCATGCAAGACCCAGCCATATAACATAGTCTGGCACATTGCAAAGTTCTAACACAACTTCTCTGACGTGCCAGACTTGCTGCTGTACATGGGGCTAATTAACGAACAAATCAAGCTGCAGCTGCATTTTTTCTCAAGGCATCTCTCAGGTGGGAGATTGGTATGCAGTGGGCCCTTCATTTTTTTTTTTTTCACAGGTTTGAGGCCTGAAATGATTTTCACTTCACAAGACAGAGTTTGGTGATATTAACCAAGAAAGAAGAGTTTGGGCAATGACACATGAACAAAGCCATCAACCTGCTGCATGCAGTGTCAGGAGAGGTCCTCTTGGGCAAATGTATTTCATTTCAAGCACTGAAGAGGGAGACCCCTGCCCCCAGGAGAAGCCACAAGGATGGGGACATGACTGCAACCCCCTGGCTGTGGAAGGGCCTCACTGGGGTTGGGGTGAGGGGGGGTCTGCACAGGTGGCTGGGGCGGGAGCACAGCGCAGAGCCAGGGAAGGGCTCTCCCGGGGCAAGTCCCACCACACGTTCCCATGGGATGAGCTGCTGCTGGTCTCCTGCCCTGGAGCACCTGCCCTAAGCATACCCACAGAGCCCCTCTCATCTCCCCCTACGCAGGGAGAGGTGTGTGCACACATGCCTGAAGGAGCAGGGCTGCTGATGGGGGGGGGGGCTTGCATGTATCTGGGGGGGTGTGCACGTGGCTGGCTGCCTGCCTGAAGGAGGGGGGTTGTTGGGGGGGGGGGCCCC